CCATGCAACAAAATTATCTAAATCACCTTGAAGCTGATGTGATTGCGATTCAACAGAGAAGGAAGAAAACAGTTTCACATCATCAGCATACATTAAGATCTGGCTGGAATTAACCACCGATGGGAGATCGTTAATGTATAAACTAAATAAAATGGGACCCAAGTGACTTCCTTGAGGTACGCCAGACGTAACGGGGAATTCATCCGAGCTAATGAAGTTAAACAAAACTCTGAAGGATCTATTGTGCAGATAAGAGCTTATCCATTTCACTAAGTAGGGTGGGAAACCGGAGGCTTGGAGTTTAAAGATAAGTAGTCTATGGTTAACCAAATCAAATGCTTTGCTTAAATCAGTGTAAATAACATCTGTGCGAGAGCCACTAGAAAAAGCCTTGAAAACATGACAGGTAAACTCTAACAAGTTGGTGACTGTAGATCGCCCTTTCCGAAAGCCGTGCTGGTGCGGAGAAATATACGAATTAATGGCAAAGGCTAAATGCTGAGTCACAATACGCTCGAACAACTTGGGCAAGACACTCAACTTGGCTATGCCTCTGTAGTTCTCAACAAATTGTCTACTTCCACTCTTGTGGATAGGAATAAGGAAACTACTCTTCCAACATGAAGGGAAAACACCTGAACACAAGGACATGTTAAAAATCTTTGAGATCACACCACACAACTCGACAGCGCAAGATTTAAGTACACATGATGGAATTCCATCAGGTCCAGGCGAACAACTGTATATTAGAGAACTTAACCCTTTGAAAACATCATCTTCCGAAATAACCAAGTTAGGTATTGAAACCGAGTTAGTTATAGGATATGGGTAGTTTGCTGATAACTCAAAATTAGCAATCGAAAAGTTTCGTCGGAAATACTCAGCAAATAGATTTGAGATTTCAAAATCATCCGAGGAACCAGAGCCATTAAAAGAAACATGAGATGGATATGTGGAAATTTTTCTTTTAGAGTTAACAAATTTAAAGAAGAATTTAGGATTAGCAAACAGAGAGGATTTAATGAACTGAAGGTATCTGCAGTAATAATGATGGTTGAGGGAGTTAAATCTATGCCTCGCCACCGAGTAAGCGACATAGTCGAGCGCAGAGCCACTTTTCGAATATTTTTTGAATAGCGAGTTTTTTCTATTCTTGTGATATTTAATTGTCTTATTAAACCACGGGGGACATCTGCTTCGAGGTCGACAATGCTTGATCGGAACAGATGCAGCAATAGCTAGATTTAATGTATTGTAGAACGATGGCATTAAGTTTTCAATACTACCGGTTGAGAAATCAAGCGTCAGATGTGAAAGACGATGTTTTAGTAATACAATATTGATTTTATGAAAATCATAATAATTATTTAAACAAGTTTGAGTTGGCACATTAAGGCATTCCAACAAACCATCATTAATATGATGAAAGGAAATGCATATTGATGGATGATAAGGATCCTCAGGTAAACTAAAAGGTGGGCAACGATTTACGTAAATCTCGGGAAAATTGGCAAAGCAGAGATCAAGCAGTCTACCATTACAATTAGGGATACGATTATATTGACCCAAATTATGATCAAACAATTCATTAAAGAACACAACAGCCCTATCAGACGTTGAAGTAGGAACCAAACAGCCAGAATTATCAGTGTTACACCAAGTGACTTGAGGCAAATTGAAGTCACCCAATGCAACAACCAAATCGGTGGGTCTGGACCGCTTGGCCACTTCACAAATGAGGGCAGCGTGTTTCCCGTAAATGGAAATATCAGAATTTGGGGGAATATAGGAGCAGGTTATGAATAGATATTTATCAGGCATATTCGCACGAATAGCGATAAATTCAACGTCAGGAGAAGTGGGAAATTCAATTAAATTGGACGGGACTGACGCAGATATGGCAATTAATACACCACCACCAATGCGATTTACTCGATCATTTCTAAACACTTGGAAAGAATTATGAAAAAGTTCCGACGAATGTAGATCGGGTTTTAGCCAGGTTTCAGTAAAGGCCAAACAGAAAAATTCCGTGCTCACTGAATTTAGAAAAGTGGAACGAATTTTCGAATTTAGGCCCCTAACATTTTGATAAATGAGAGATAGTGGGCCTGAAGAAACAATTAGTTTTTTGAAGGCGACAAGACTATTGCCTTGGTATTACGGGGACGATCACGAGGGATAAATTCCTTAATTAAGGATCCTACCGGCCACAGTGATTTATTTAACAACATATCACTGTTTTCAGTCGGAACTAATATTTTAAAAGAGGAGATTGCCCTAGCTTGAGAAGGAGCCATTTTGAAGATGCTAACACGCTTTAAGTTGACTGATGGGACTTTCGTCGCCAGATAACCTTTTATGTTATCCACCGATGTTTCAGGTGCCAGTCTTGACACAAATATTGCTTTTCTGGGAGGAACTGCCGTCAAGCAAATGTCATTATTTGGAACAGGAGGGGGGTTCACAGTAGGAGAGTTTCGAGTTGGGGAAAATATAGATGGGGTTATCGCCCTTGTACCGCCAGCTTGTGAGACTTGCCCAGTCTGGTGACCAGCATTCACACGCGAACAGGCAGGAGGAGAGGATGACTTATTTTTCTCTTCATTACTTTTAGGCGATGGCACTTGATTAGAGTGAGTGGCGGCTCTGGGCGGAGATACCCTTGCCACTTCAGCGTAGCTTAAAACCGATGGACTTGCCGGTTTGTTTGTAACTGTTTTGCTACCAACCGACTCAGCAATATCGGAAACATTACTATTCATTTTAGAGTTAGAAGGAGCGGTAACTTGTACCAACGAATTAGATTTGGAGAAAGCCAGTGGTGCCCATAATTTATTTAGTTCTGTTTCTAGTAAATTTTCCAGCGATATACCATCCCATGATTCAACATTTAATGATAGCCATATTTTTCACTCCAATGTACTATTTCTTCAGCTTTATCGGAATAGTCTAGATTGTTAATGCAGTAAGGCTCATCTTGCATGGTGTACTCTTCCTCTAGAACTTGGCATGAGGTTAATTTTCCTAAAATTATTTGAATTTGATTATTACTACATAATTTCATGAAATATTCATGGGCACCGCCGTATCTTTTTACATTGCCCAATATTGACTCCAGGATATCCTGGTTAAATTTTCGCGATAGTATATTTATTGCCTTGTTCGATCACAGCAGCTCTTCGATTAATTGTTCGAATGTCTTTAACATGTTTTTCGTGCCGCTATGTAGATATCCTTGAAATATATTAAGCTATCATTTAAATCCGATTTGATTTCAACCCAGATTATATTGTTAATTGACCGATTTCCTTTGTGTTTGTGGAAAACATTAAAAATTTTACTCGCTTTTTTGCACCATTCTAGTGATTTTATTTCAGATGTCTGTGTCTTCTCTATGTTTTTGAATATACCACGTTCATTCGACGCTTTTAAATTTGCGACAATCTTGTCGCTAAATATATTAAACGGAGCCAGCGGGCTTGAAGGGGTTAAATCAAAGCCTCGCTTTTTCAGTATAGCCGAAATGTTTGAATATTCCTTGTTTTTGTTAATCTCATTAAACAGAAGGTGAATGGGGCCCTCCGACTCTTCATTAAGGAACTCTTTAGAATATTTTATAACAAACTTGTTCCGCAAACATCTCAATAGTTGTATGTAGTCATATAAGGTAGGAATGTTGCTATAAATTGGGAGTAATGAGAATGCTTTTCATATGTACGGGAGTCACAGGTTGGTCACAAACAAGATCTACAACTTTTAGTCGAATTGACTCTGCAATTTTTATAATATATAATGTTTGAAAAGCCACATCATCTTTTTTTTTACATTAATTTGAAAATTACACAAAAGTATTTTGAAATTGGTGATCAGGTTCCTGCCGACAAATACTGTTGACCGCTTGGCCACTTCTGGTATCATTTCGTTTCCTTGGTTGGTACGGCTTTCCATGCAATCGTGTTTTTTATTACGATTTTGTTCTACATCGACGTAAACATCGTCAACATTTACTATTATTATTATTTTCTGTTCCTCATTTAACTTACGATTTTTTTAAATTGTTTCTTATAATTTGACTCCATTACGTCGACAATCTTTTTTAAGGTACGAATGTTCGGTAAATGAATCCCTAAATAGACTCTCATGAAACCATAGCACTTATAGTACTGCGTATATATCTGTTCGCAGAGGCCTTTCTCTTGCTCGGAGAAGCTACTTTCAGGTGTCTTTTTACTAATAACTTTTACTAACTTTTATTTATTTTGATTATCTAGACTAATATACTCCAAGTTTGTCTTTAACCGTTTTGATGTTGATGAGATATTGTCGTTCATCTCTGTCTTGCATGCATTCATTTGTTCCAATTGTTCCATTCGTTTCAATCCTTTTAGTGGACTATTTTTTTCAGAAGTGTGTAGATAGTGTTATGATCGCATCTGTGACCAATATACGATTAAAGCTGGAATACTTTAATAAAATTAAATTTTCGTATGTTTTGAAACATTTAAATCAATTTTGCAATTTATTTGCAGGGAGTTTGACAAGCGATCTTTTTTCATCAAATTTATCTTGATTATGTTTGCATATCCATACTAATCACTCGCTTATACCCGGGATGCAATATCATAATAATTAATATAATAAGAAGAATAAAAATGATAGTAATAGTATAATAAAAAAATACATAAAATAAAATAAATTAAGCCTAGGAAATGCAAGATAGATTTGTTAATTTTGCTTACTTACTTAAATTTTGTTTAACTGCAAGAAAAACATTTTTTAAATTTCAAATGAAAAGAATAAAGAAGGATTTTAATAGGCTTTAATTTTCTGAAAAATTATTTCAAAATGTTTTCCTGCGCGCGTTTTCTGAAAAACGATTAAATTTTATTTGTTTAATCATATGTTTAAGAATCAGATGTTTCAGATGTTATAAACACAGGTATGTTTTATATGAAAAATGAATCAAAACGAAGAATCAAAAAGTGTGCATCATTCACAAAAAGTCTTTTGATGTATTAGTCGGGCGATCGGAAATTATAGCTGCAAAGGAAATAAAATTTAGGAATTTAAGTCATAAAATCCAATTTACTAAATTTATTGTTCTTTAGCCGACTGTGTATTTAAAAGCAATGGCTGATGAACTGATATATAATAAACGGCATAGAGAAAGTAAACGAAACAAAATCAAAAGTGAAAATTTATTAAACGAAAGTCAATTTAGGAGGGCGTGCGTGTATGTGGTTGATTAAAAATTTCTCATATTTCTACTAACAGGAGTGGCAGCCGAATAGCAAAAAAATACATTAAGCTAGTGGAAAAAAAACTGAAGTTAATAAAGACACTCTCGAAAAATGTTTAATTGAAAGGAAGGCGAGAAGAAATAATTTTGTTTTCAGGAGTATTAAAACGTGACGTTATATGTGTGTGTATGTAAATTGTGTGTATTCCATAAATAGGTGTGAAAAAGGGAAGAGATAAACATTCCAGGAAAGAAAATGTATTTATTACAAGTATTTACGGAGAAATTCTTGTAAAAAGATTTTCTCTTAAGAATCACAATTAAGTGCACGCTTATGTGAAAAGTATTAAATTGAAGTGGTAGCAAAGTCATTTGTTAAGCTATTTTCAACGCAATCAGCATTTAACACTATGTCCAGTTGGGCCGAACGTGTACATCGTCGTGCAGCCGATTTTGGTAGTGTGGTAACATCCTGCGGTCATCCTGGCTCATCGACACCCGCTTATCCTTATCGTTTGGAAAAAGTCAAATTTGGTATACCTCTAGAGGAGGTGTGCAAAAATGATAACATTCCCGGTCCCTTATTGGTACTAATACTTAAACTTAACAAGGAGTCACCTAATCGAAGAGATGTATTTCGGGCGCCTGGTCATCAAGGGGCTATGAAGAAATTGATACATTTTTTGCAAGCAGGTCGTCTGGTCAATGTTGACAATTATTCTGTATATACCATAGCTAGCGTCTTAAAGAAATTTCTACGGAAAATACCCAACGGTGTGTTTGGACGCACCGGTGAAAATGAACTATTTGCCATTATTGAGTTGGAAAGCGAGACCGAGCAAACGGAAAGATTACACAAGTAAGTCAAGTAAAGGCCAAATTCAAAATCATTCTAGAAATTTTCAAAATCAATTTAATTAATTACTAAAAATTTATACAAAGCCTGACTTAACTGGTTTTTGATAAACTTGCATATACTCAAGCTAATGTTGTTCTTGCCAGGTGCAATGTTCTGCTCTAATTGATCAAAAACAAAAAAGGAAAAAAAAAGATGTTTACATTGGATGGTATTGCACAAAAACAAAAAATGAAAAGTATTAACACACAAAGTAACTTCATATAGCAGTCTGCACAAAAAAAAATTACAGAGAATTGCATTTAATGCGCGTGAATAAAATGCAACGAAAACATTGCTTTGCTAAAAAAAAAGTTAAATAAAAATAAATAAAATATGTAAAAAAAAAAAAACAAAAAAATGATAAAAATGAAGAAAAAACATTTGTTAGTATTAAAAAAAAAATAAAAATAATGTCAGCAAATCTGAAAGTGTAATACAATGCAGAACGTAGCATAAAAAATAAAAATCAAAGCATTTACAAATAACAAGTTAAACCAGTTAGCGACGAGTGCTTTTAAAGTAGAAAAAAAGAAAGCAAATTAAACGAGTTTAAATATTTTTTAAGTTTAATTTAGAAAAACGTTTTTTTTTTTTTTTCAATTTTCGCAAACTAAAAAAGAGCACATAATAGTTAAATGGTTAAGTAGCAGCAATGTTTAAACACTTTAATTACGTACTTATACAGAAACATATTTCTGTCGTGTTTGTGAAGAAGCCGGAAAAACTAGAGAGTGTATCTCTTGAGTTTTTCTTTTATCTTATGTTATATTTCTTGTTTTAAAAGCACCAATGAAAAAACAAATATTTTTTCTTTCTTTTATACGTATATAGTAAAAAGAAGGTACGTTGTAGGCGCGCAACTGCTTTTTCTTGTTGGCTTTTTTCTTTTGTATATTTGAACGATAAACATGTTTGCTTGAAGGCGCTTTGCAAAAATAAATACAAGAGTTCGGTTCGGCAGGTATCACTTGAAAATCGATCATTGATTAGCTTTGCATACAAATAGTAACATCGTATTGTTTATTTACTTAGGGGAAGCGACAACAATTTAAATGTCTTAACAAGCAAAGAATTTTCTATTAAACCAACGAACCAAACAAATTAGTTCGCCTAAGCATTCCAGATGTTGTCGCAAAAATTTCTTGATGAACATAATGCTATTGTTTGCCTGCGTTTGAACCTAGCTATGAATACGTTACTGTTTTCGTGCGTATCGCATAGAGCTGGTCCTGTCGATACAAAATCTCTTAGCCTAATGACCTACTTTTTTTTTTAAAGTTTCATTGTATTCTGGGAGGAAGTTGACTTTTACGAAGCAACCGTGTAAATATAACTATTCTGTGACAGGGTTGCCGAACCAGCACCATCTCTGCATGTAAAATGAGATAATGCTGGCATTTTGCAAGAGTGGAACACAAACGTTCGCGCGACAGGTTCTTGATTTCAAATTCCGCTTCCAAATCCAGCAATAATCGGTGATCGCATGAATTCCTTATCAGTCTAATGACCTGAATCTATTTCGTTCCGCCCTTACATTGATATCTCATTCCCTGTATTTATATTTGATATATATGTTGTCACTTAACTGAACGTGGTGCGCTCGAAAAAAATTGTACCCTTCGTAGTACCTAGTGATCTAAAAATTGCTACAAATAAAAAAACACACTTACCTAAAATGATACATCAGTACGTAGCTACAAACACTTCAATATCAGTCATCACTGACTAAGTATTACTCATTTTTGAGCATTATTTTGAGGTGGTGGAATCAAGAGACATAAAAGAAGGTGATAATATTAGAATCTTGGCACAATTTCTTGTAGAAGTTCTGACACTTGCGTGTTGCGGCCTTCTTCCCACCAACAGGTATATCAAACATACCAAAGGGGCTCCAAAAAGGCGAAAATACACTTTAATGCAAGTAGCAAATGAACAGAGAGAAACTGCAGAACTGCATGGTGAGTTGCGCCAAGTTTTGGAGGTTTTTTGTCTCCAACGTGCTCCATAGCATGATCTGAAGTTTGAAAGACCAACGATAACGGAACGTTTGCGGACGATGCCAAGTTTTATTTACGAAAATTAGTGCGGTTTGTTAATTTTTAAGGACTTGCGTATAGCGGTAATAGTAGTAAAATATCAAGGGTAATAAAATTCATCGAATAGCATCTTTGAGAATTTTGCGAAAGTTAAATAAATTGAAATTAGGTTTGAAAAACACATTGATTAGAAATTATGTAACACTTGGTGAAATAGTAATATTTTACAGTCAGCACTGAAGCTTAGTGACATACGAATTTTATGAAAAGAGCCTTAGAGATCTCAGAGATTATATAAAGTGTATATATTAGTTTAGTTTATTTTATTAATTAATAATAATAGTTAATAATCATAATATGTTTATTATTATACAATAGCAATTATTATTATAATTAATATTAACGTGCTAATATGACCATAAAATTTCTCGCGGAAAATTTTTGAACAATGGTAATATTTAGGTATAAATAATAACAATGTTGCACAGTATTGAGTGAAGCCATAGATACAGGCGTAATTATGCATTATAAATTCAGCCCTCTCAGACTAACAATCGTTTTAGTATGGAGTGGTAACGAGTTCCACAAAATATTTATGATTAATACTTACGGTCAGGAGGATTAAATTCATTGTCCGTTCATATTTAGCAAACAATATTTTTCAATATAAATATTTTGATCTTCAAATTCCGATGAGCGGAGATTTCTGACGTGAAGCAACGTTTGAAGATCAGAATTCAAAATCTTGAACGAATGTTTAAATAATTATTTTCATTTTTAAATTTATTAAAAACATATCCAGCGCACTTAATAAAAGATTAGTTTACAACCTATCGCTAGAAACTCGATCTAAGTTACTATATAGGTTCCATAAACATTTGCAATAGAATATATATATGAAATTCGGGATTGATCTATACTGGTCTATTAGAGTGTTTGTGTGTATGAATGTTAACGTGATAGTCTCGATTGCCAAAATTTTGCAAAAAAAACAGTGAAAAGATTATCGCACGCAGGCAGATAAGGAGAATGCGTCAGATCAGTCAAAGAATAACCCTACAGTACAATGCAAACTGGAAACTGAAAACATCTCAGTTTTCAAAAACCAAAAAGAAATGTGATTGGTTTTCTGCTCATTATTTATAAACAACAATTACAACAACAAACACAATATCTGCACAAAAAGAGAAAAAAATCGCCATAACTATCAGCCATTATAGAGTATTGAAGCTTTATTATTTTAATTAAAAAAAAAAAAAACATCATTTTTTTTTTGGTTAAGAAGCCAATGGTGGTGGATATAAAAAATTCCCCATAGCCGAATTTAATTATCTTTCTTGCTTTCGTTATATGCGTGTTGCGTTTGGGTGAAGATATACGCATAGTTAAGAGTTAACGATGGTAACACTAGTTTCTTTTAAGATAATACAAATTTATTGTAATTTGAACTCTTTTTGTTCTCACTCTATCTTTGTCTTTGTCTATCTCTATCTCTTTCCTTATCTTTCTTCGCTCCTTTATAAATAATAGTAAATATGTTGTGCGCTATTAATAGCTTATAACTTTCTCTACCCATTTTATATATATATACTGCTAAGTATTTTGTTTAGAAGGTCAGCAGAAATATTCTTTCCAATTCATATTTATGGCTAAGCTATTTTATGGCTTCTTGTCCTTGTCGTAAATAGGAGAACATATTTTCTCTTCTTTCTATTTCTATTAATAAGAGTTGCGGTAAAAGTTCGCATATGAAAAATAGATATAGAAAATATAGATAGATATTTATATTTATATATATATATACATATATATATATATATATGTATTCGGTTGTCAGGGATGAAATTTATAGATAAATAGATAAGTGTATTTAATTGATTATATTCAAATTTTATCCTTGACGACCCAATATGTACATGTGAATATGAAGTATTCTACTTAAGTCACTCACCTATAATGATGTCTATAAATCTGGTACTATTCTATATGATCCGGATGTAATGTGTTCCCTATACTTATTTGATATTATAGTACATTTAATAATAATTGCTTCTGTGTGACTACCCAGCACGAAAACACTTATAAACGAGGAAATACCAAACGTTGCGTTGCCTTTCAAATGAACGGAGATAGTCAGTCAGTCGTGAACGTAGGCGTTGTTGTTTTTATACAGTGAATAAAAAAGTCTCTTAGGACTCTTGTACATGTAGGTACAGACACAGTTAAGAAATGTGTTAACTTTATTACTCCATTTGTAACAACTAGACTATGTAAACTGTCTGACCTATGCGTGGTTGTCATGCAAGATAAAAATATAATAATTAATTGATGAGGAATTCATTGCTTTGGGATAAGGTTTTGGTTTTCTCAAGCTCAAGTTGAGATGGGTTTGTCAATTGCACGATCATAGGATCATAACTACTTACTTAGCTACGATATTTGCAATAGATTACAATATAAGTCGCATATTTTGGTTTTTGTATGCAAGGTTGAGAAAGACGAAGCAGCACTCACGGGATTAATGGGCTGACATATCTAAATCGATCCAATTTCTCATCCAAATGGCAATACACATGTTCGCTGATCAATTGTCAGCAAGTTATCCCGTAGCCGGCAATTTTCGTAGATACGCGCACCACTAGACATTTCGTATATAATTGGTAGCTGCGATGAGTTAAATCATTTATAAAATTTGAATGTCTTTCTTTGACATTTATAGGAAGATGAAAATTGCATCATAGCAGATTTCTTCATCCAATACTTTGAAACAAGCACTGAATAGGAAAACTTGCTTGATCAAATAGCTATGAGTTTTCCTTTTTCTTAAGCGAACAAGTTTCGTGGAAAAGTTTTTATTTCCTCGATACTGAAACATAATGAGCGGCGCATATGGTACTTATGTATAAAAAATAGTATGCATAGATGATTATATGTGTATGTCTACATAATATAAAGATTGCCTTTAAAAGTTTAATGAACGTCAGTTGCATAAAAAATGCATTCATTAGAGAGCGATTGAGTTTAATAACGCAGTTAAAATAAAATGGAGATAATTAAAAATTTAACATATATTGTCTATGTATAAATTTGTAACGGAAATTGATTAAGTTTCGCACGATTGTTATCGTGAAACATTTAACCTATGTCTGATCTCTGTTTTGTCGTCAAGAACTGGTCGAAATCGTTGCAAGGTTTCGTTTAATCGACATCAGCACCGACGACAGCGACGATCTTGTAGTCGAAAAGTGCTGCAAGCCCAATCCGTTCACGGCATTCACTCTAATATGGTAAGTACTGTATCTACGAAGAATTCTTCGAAGCTAAAGATAAAACTTTCGAGCTTTGCATTGCAGAGCTAATCGCCATAAAATTTCCAGCAAAGTCTCGCTAAATTTCCAAGGTAGATCAATTTGCTGCACAACTGCGTCCGACCAGCACCAGCACCATTTTTGACGCTTTAAGGAGATCATCAATTTTTCTTAAATAAGCTCTTCTTTGATGAATTAAAAGGTGGAGGTAATTGTTGTAGAAAAAATCGAGAGCGTGATCGGATAAACGGGAGTACCTGAAATATTGATTGTTGTTGTTGTTGTTGTTGATATAAAAACAAGTTAAACGAAAGCCTATTAGAAAGAAGTAATCATTAAAGGCTATCTAGTAAAGCTCTTACCACATTTAAGACGGGAAACATTTGCCATTTGCTATAAGGCATCGATCAAAAGGTCTTTCAGAGTAGCTCTACTCTGCAATTATCTTCGAAAATCCTACCGCAGTCGACGATCTACTTTGCTTGTGCTCTGCCGTAACATTTTGCTATAGTGTAATGACAGTCGCGATGTAAACCAGACCCACACTTTGCGAATATTCTAAGATCTTAGATAGCTACCTCATTTACTTACAGTGTGATCGACCAGAAGAACAACAGGTTGCTTTTATATTATAGCTATGAAATATCCTTAGTGGGGCGGGTATATTTACAGAAAGAACTGATTCTTGCATTCATGTACCGAAATATATGAACACCCACCAGAAAAACATAAAATCGCTATTAAACAAATAAACATGATGTGTGGAAAAAAAACAAAAAAGAAGCGAAATGAGAACATAAATAGAAAAGAAAGAAAAACGTAAATAAAAAAGAAAAATAGTGAACGCTTAGAACACAATGACGTAGGTTCTCAACAAACAAAAAGAAATACACTTTTATATATGTACCATACACACACACACATTTATATATATTTATATTGAGAACGCAGTGACGAATAGTATTGCGCATGATACGTAAACTAACCGTAATGAATGAATAAATTTCAACTTTTGTTGTTATTGTTGGCAAAGAAAAAGAGAAAATTTAATGAAAATGAAACAAACAACAAATGGAAAATATAATATAAATAAAACAATTATAATTATGTTAGTTGTTACGCATCCGAATGACGTAGATTGGCTATGTTTAAAATTTTTAGCAGACGGAACGCGCCTGATAGCGATACATTCGAAGGGAAATCTCCTATTTTCATATTTAGAATAATTCGTTTTTATAAAAATTTCTAGTATAGCATGACTTACGCCGCTACTTCCTAGCTATTGGGAAATTCTAAATTTCATAGCGCCTAGAAGGGACAAGTGAAGGGCGAGAATATATTAATGCTTGTTATTATTCGTATTTGTATTTGTATTTGTATTTGTATTTGTATTTACTCAGAAATATTTGAACAACAGAGAGAAGAGGAGATATTCAGTTCAATTTCTCAAATTAAGGATGGAAAGGATAATTGTGTTGATTTCAAACAAAATAGATTTGAAAATAATTTCAATTATAATCAAAAACGATCTGAAATTTTAAATGTGTAGACTTCCCTTTTAATACTTGCCACCACTTGTGATACAATCGTATATTAAGCTTGTACGGATATATGCAACACCCAAAAGGACATGAGACAGACACACCTTTTAGTATAGCGGTTGATTCAGATTGAAGTCATTCTGTCTGTCTGCATGTCCTTCTTTTTTTCGTGTGTACAACCAATAGGTCGCCATTTTTGAGATATTTTGATGAATTTTGATATATTGACGTGCTTTGATTGAAGAACGAATGCTATTGAAAATGGTTTAGATCGGGCCACTTTTTCGACCACTTCTCATATGAAGCATTATTTTGAAAGGTCGTTATATTAATAACCCTCTTAACAATGTAGTGTAGTGTTGTGTCCATTTATTTAATATGATTCGATTTAAATTATTTTCATTAAACCTGCGTTAAAAAGACTCAGTACTCAGGCTTTACGGAACAGTTCATGTTGTCTCACTAAAGCGTGCATATCGAGCGGAAAAAACGTCGATGAAAACGAGGAAAATGATTCACGTCGATAATGAATGTCGAATATCCGCAATGGTACTTTTTAGAAAAATTACTCTCTCTGCTACCGACACAATTGAGCCGATTATTAAGCGAAGAAATGGTCATAATTTGCGAAATAGTATTATATAGGAGAGTTTTGTATAATCGAATGACGATGACGCCCAACCCCATATGGCGTGATTTGTCTGGGAAAGTTTGACAACATTAATCTAGAATACTTTACCCAATAATACTTACACTATTGGATGCATATATTTATTTACCGCAAGTGATGATCGACGTCTTAGATACGCTCGAATGTGATGGCAGCTTTCGTATATGCTATTAGTTATAGTGTTTTCGAAAACCATATCACAATTGCTTAGGCAATTATTGTTAAATAACCCAAACGAACGAACTAAATTTTATGGAATGCGAACAAGTCTTTATTCTTTTAGATATAAACTTTTACGAGTTTCATTTCTAAAATAAAACCGTTTTGAAGGGCTGACATATGGGGTAATTTAATTCAAGTTATATATAATAATTATGTGTGTGTGCTATACACACACGTGTATGTGTTACGAAATTTTTCGCTTCAACATTTTTATGCGTTTATGACGGAACTGACTCGCACACCCTCCCAGTGAGGCAATTTTTCACACTGTGACATCAGCTTAACAGTAGAATTGTCTCAATAAATCATTTCATTGATTTCTTATCGTTAAGAATATTGTATTTCTCATTGTTTAAGATGATACAGCGAAGCATTTGAATGGAAATACGCCCTCAGCATATTCTCTAATACATAAGATTTTTACGCAGTTACAGCGAAAAAAGGGAGAATAAACGATCGAATTGGTCAACGATATAATTTTATTTAAAAATGGCGAGGAGGTTAACGTAAGAAAAATAAATTCAAATATTTATTTAGCTAAATTGTTCAGAAAAGCATTTTTTTCTTCTTCACTCAATAAGAGACACTCTGAACACACTAGAGTATCGTAGAATAGATTTTGTCAATTGAAAGCATTTTTTTACTCTAAAAGTGAAGGGCTAAAGTCCTAAAGCCTTTCGAATGGGTAGCATTTGGGGGAATGAGTCGCCCTTGAGACGGTGTACCCAAATGCAAATTTATTTATAATTTCTCAAATTAAAAGATGTCTTTAAAGAGTGTTTATGTACACAAGTACGTTCATATAGTTTCGTGGAGGCTGTCGTTGAATGAAAGGCATGAAATGAAGTTGAAAGAAATTCGTATCGAATCGGGCAGTGCTTTTGTCAAAGTGAGTGATGAAGCTCTTCATGTTAATTAGAAATTTTTTTTGCCGCTTTTTTTCGAGAGTTCACTCACAAACACGTGCAGTGTGAAATACGGAATTCTGCCTTTGATAGGATCCGGTAAAGTAGATACCTTTCAGCAAAGAATCGCCGAGAAAAGACAATTCGGGAGAATATTCGGGCAGGGAAGGGCTTTTTTTTATGGTGCCTTGGGACTGCAAGCAACATGCAAAAAACATGCCTATAACACATTTTCAAATTTCAATTGCGTTTTTTTCTCGAAACACGATTCTTAGAAACGATCGGTGGCAATATATCTACAATTGTTTAGACAATTGTTTTCCCACTCGAATTCTCTTGTGAAACACACACGAGATTTTTAATAAGTTCATTACAACATTGTTCGGTAGCAAAAAGGTTGCGTTTGCGAAAATTAAACATTTTTCATTTCAAAATCAATTGTATTTTGTGATTTAATTAGCGATAACTATGCAGCATATATGAAACGGATTTTTTTTTTTTTTTTTTTTTTTTAATATGACCAATCATTAAGGAGCTGCGCTTTATTCACGTAACAAAGGTTGTGGTCAGAGAGGAAAGTGATAAATAAAAATGAGTGAGACCGTCAGCTTAGTAATTGCGCGCCTTAATCAGACTGTTTAGTCGCCATCCTTACCTACTCGGCTACTCATGCGAAATTTGCACGAACTAAATTATGTGCAGGTTGTAGAGCGCCTTGCGTTGAAGATGCGTCGTGATGCATGGTGAGCTTTACTTAATATTTTTTAAAAAGAGCACTGCTAAGCCTTTTAGGTTGTGGGGGCGAATTTATGCTGGAACAGCTAATGCTTTTCATTGTATTGAAAATTCTACCGCATTTGAGAGTGAGTTGAACCCGAAACCAGCTTTTAGGATGAATGGTATAAATATATTAACAAAGTGAAAGTATAATTATGTGTATGTATGTTGTGTCTGTAACTTTTCTTTGGAATAACTTTTTGCCCAACTACTTTTATTGCACTATTGAAAATGTTAAGATTTAAGGATTTCTATGATTCAATGCTGTTATCGCTTTCTTTGCTTAAGTGTCTACAGCACTGCTAAGTGTAACTGCCTACGATGTCGTCTCCATTGAATGTTTTAGTCCGGATTCCATTTTTATTCTTATGCTGACATCAAGCTCTCATTGTATGCTCATTTATCTATTCTTGGTATATAAAATGTCTTGTATACAGTTAAAGGTTTTTGCAGTGAATCTTTGTGCGATTGCTTCTTACGACTTTTATATGTTGTCTATTTTTTTTTTTTTTTTGATAGTTTTTATTTTTTTAAATGTCTTTAGCTGACGTCATAGTTTCATTTTGTACATTGGCAAGGCAGAATATAATTTTCATTTTCATACTCACCACCGCCAAGGCATGGAAATGTATTTGTTTTGTCAAAAAGTTCGCAAACACTAAAAACTTAAAACGAAGGATCAATCGGGTATATGACACGCCGTACAGTACAACATGAGTACAATAAATGTAGTGGGACTTGGCCCACCATTAAATGCCTTAATGTAATTATTCATGAAACGATCTTTTAAAATAGGGCTTTAAATTAACACAAGACGAAAAATTCCATAGCCCTCGTCCGTCGGTGCGAAATTTATCAAAACAGTTTGAACACAAAAGGGCAAAGGCAATCCGACAAAAGGACAGTCTACCTCAGATTGATTCAGAAAGTGCTTGTTAATCACTATCGCTATGAAGCATACATCAGCACAAACTTAATATACCCTTGAACCCACCAATGGTGTAGGTTGTATAAGAAGATATGAAGCAAATAGTTTTTTGGTCAATACTCATAAACTGCAATAGATATAACATAATGCAGGAAATGCTGACCCTGTAAAAAATTGGAAAAAGCCCCTTCACGTCCGCTCAATATTAATGATGTTGTTGTCGCACTCTTTATGTAATTTGGATAAGAAGTCGCGATGCGGTATTCATGGTATTCATTGGTATTTTGGTACTTTTGGTAATTTTGCGTAATTTTTGTAAAACTCACAAACTTATTTGCGATTAGCCGGATTGTTTTTATCCATGTAACGAAGACTTGCATCATTTATGCAACTTATATAGATTTGAAGCAATTCTATCTAGAACTGAGACGGAGCAATGAAGTGTATTTGTACCGCGAATTCTATATTGAGTACGACGACCTTAACACATTTACGGAATATCGAAACTTCATCTTTTCGGAGAGGGTGCTGTGTGTAGAAGATGCGACAACAGTCGAATATAATTCTCTTACTTGTTGCTTATATTGAAGAAATAAAATAAAAACAATGTGAAATGCTTCATTCATTTATTTATTTGTGCCCCAACATGGGCATGTTGTTGTTTATGTGTTGCGTGCTTGTAATGTTATTCTATTATTCTTTTAAATCTAAATTGGTTAGACGAGTTACAATAACT